CCATGGCTCTCGGCCCCGCCCCCACTCGTCACAGCTACCCAGTGCATTCTGTGTTAGGGATAGCCCTTCGCTCGTGCTGGCCTCACGACAGGGTATCACTGTGCTATCACTTACACAGGTCACTGGAAGACAGCCACTGTGGCGTTTTGGAAGGGACCCCATTCGTCAGTCTGTTCTGACGTAACGTTGAACGTGACCGACTGAAAGGGAACGTCTAGGTTACGTATGTAACCCTCGTTCCCTGAAGGAGGGATTGGAGACGTTATGTCCATTTGCCACAATTGCTGTTCCGCTGAACGGCTGGGTCATATGCTCGGCTCCTTAGTGAAGACTTGAATGTGAGTTGCTCGCGCAGCTCCTTATATACCCACACAGTGGGGCGGAGCTTGCGATGCAAATTCCGCAGACCAAGGTAATCAGCGTACCATTGGCTCGTTCTGTTACCACTCAAAGGTGATTGGCCTCTCGGGCGTGATCCCATTCGTCAGTCTGTTCTGGGAATGAGGGTTACATACGTAACCTAGATGTTTTTTGTCATGTCCACAAAACAAGTTTAATCTAAACTGAAAAGAAAAGAAAAGAAAAGAAAAGAAAAAAATTTTTATACTGAAATTTTTCTGCTGTCTGGACACTACTGAAGGAAGGACTATGCATGAATCGTTCAATATACTATGATATATAATATACTATATATAAAATAAGTTATGTTTCACATTCTGACGGCAAATGTCAGATCCATAATACTGGATTTGCCCAACAGGACTTTAAGTTTTGGAAGAGCTATCCCTTTAAGATATCTACAAAATGCCTGTGTTCACTGAATGTACTGTGAATTCCAACCCCTAAAGCTATCTCCATGTTCTTCCAGCATTAAGTCCATGCAGCTGTATAAATTCATACATTATGTCACAGTCCGCCACTGCTTAATTCACCAGATTGTGCTGCAGAACCTAAACACCATATCATCTAAATCCCTGTTCTTTTCTTCCAGCTTCATGAACCTGTTCTCCTCCTTTGTTTGACCAGTCTCTCGAGATCTCAGCAGTTGATTAGTCTCTTCTGTGTCTCGTGCTTATCTCTGATTGGAATCCAGAATCTCCTGCCTGAGGTGTCAGATTTAGCTCAGTCTTGGTCAATAGAATAGATGAAACATTTATTTTTCAAACAAAACTTCTCCCCAAATAAATGTGCTGCTGATCTTTCTGAACCTACTCTTAAATACTTTGAATTGTAGATTCATGTGCAAGTGTATGGCTTATAATTAATTACATTTTAACTTGTCAAAATGACAATAAAGGAATGAATACTGATCTCATTTCCACCTTACATTTGTCCTGTTCCATGTCATAAAGTGCCAAGTACATGGTAACACTTTATAATAATGTTCAGTTGTAAGTCATTTATAAGTGATTAGTTAATGATGAACTAATCATTTACAAAACATCCAAAAGCGATTAATAAGTGATTTGCTAACAATTTGTGTTTTTATAATTAATTTACAAGTAATTAGTTAATGATGAACTAATCATTTACAAAACATCCAAAAGCGATTAATAAGTGATTTGCTAACAATTTGTGTTTTTATAATTAATTTACAAGTAATTAGTTAATGATGAACTAATCATTTACAAAACATCCAAAAGCGATTAATAAGTGATTTGCTAACAATTTGTGTTTTTATAATTAATTTACAAGTAATTAGTTAATGATGAACTAATCATTTACAAAACATCCAAAAGCGATTAATAAGTGATTTGCTAACAATTTGTGTTTTTATAATTAATTTACAAGTAATTAGTTAATGATGAACTAATCATTTACAAAACATCCAAAAGCGATTAATAAGTGATTTGCTAACAATTTGTGTTTTTATAATTAATTTACAAGTAATTAGTTAATGATGAACTAATCATTTACAAAACATCCAAAAGCGATTAATAAGTGATTTGCTAACAATTTGTGTTTTTATAATTAATTTACAAGTAATTAGTTAATGATGAACTAATCATTTACAAAACATCCAAAAGCGATTAATAAGTGATTTGCTAACAATTTGTGTTTTTATAATTAATTTACAAGTAATTAGTTAATGATGAACTAATCATTTACAAAACATGACTATGTGTTCTTAAATGATTAATAAGTGATATGTTAATATTTGTATCTATGTATTGTAGATTAAGTTATAAATAATTTACAAGTGATTAGATGATGATTAACTAATCATTTACAAAACATGACTATACATTCACAAATGATTATTAAGTAATATGCTAACGATTTTCAAATCTGTCGTAAGTTATCTTAAAAAAATAGCATCATGAAATAATTAAACAGATCCTTAGTAAATGGTTGATACACAAAAAAATTATACACATTTTTTTAAGGTAAGTGGTTGCAAACTATTTATTTTAGCTTCATTTAAATAAAAAAAAAAATAGAAAGTTAGTCAACTAAATTTGTTTACTTAAATGTAGTTAAAATAAATTGATTGCAACCACTTAAAAACATTTTGTAAATTCAATGAATCATTTTATTCATCATTTTATTATTAATCACTTATAAATCATTGAAATGTCATCATTGTACTATTGTCTCAAACATTTGTTAATCATGAACAAATGATGATTAAACCATTAGTAAATGATCAGTATATATAATGTATGTATGTTTCATTAAAGTTGTAAGCTAGTCTGTTAAAAAGCCCAAAAATGCAATTATGCTAAAACTATTTTTTTTTAAAGAATAATAAATTATTTGCTGTCAAGTGAATAAACATGTGTAAATGACTTACAGTCAGGGGATTCCAGTGGGTTGTTCTCTCATCAGCACAGAATTGTGTTCTTTGTGGGATCTAGTGATCTAGTTCACTCAAGTGCACAGCGTTGAAATACTCCATGTATGTCAGAGAAGACATCTGTCTACACCCTCACCAGTCAGCCCTTACATTGCAGTACACAATACAAAAGTATTCAAAACCTGTTGTGTAAACGCATGAATAAATCATTTACAAAGCTTTCTGCTTCCCATATTCTAAAGTGTAAACTACTCATCACTTGTAAATGTTTTAAAAACCTGCCAGTTACAGGTTGTGTGTGTGTACACACTGGGGTGAAAGATCTACGAATGATGAGTAAAACATTTACAACTGATGAGTAGTTTACACTTTAGAATAAGAGATGCAGAAAGCTTGGTAAATGATTTATTCATGCGTTTACACAAGAGATTTTGAATACTTTGTAGTGTGTACTGCAATGTAAGGGCTGACTGGTGAGGGTGTAGACAGATGTCTTCTCTGACACACATGGAGTATTTCAACACTGTGAGATAATAATACAATGTTGACATTTCAATGATTTATAAGTGATTAATAATATATTAACTAGTAACTTATTAATCATCTACTAAGGATCTGTTTAATTAATTCATGATATGCTATTTTTTTAAGATAACTTATGACAGATTTGTACATCGTTAGCATATTACTTAATAATCATTTGTGAACGTATAGTCATGTTTTCTAAATGATTAGTTCATCATTATCTAATCACTTGTAAAGGATTTATAACTTAATCTACAAAACATAGATACAAATATTAACATATCACTTATTAATCATTTATGAACACATAGTTATGTTTTGTAAATGATTAGTTCATCATTAACTAATCACTTATAAATGACTTACAACTGAACGTTATTATAAAGTGTTACCGTAATTCCCTTCTTGCTTGTTTTTCCTTTGTATCCCATGGCTGTTTCCCTTGTTCCATTTTCTAGTTTGTTTCCATTTTCACAGCTACTAATGACTCTCACCTGTGCCTTGTTTAGCCATGCATTTGTTATCCTATGTATATTGCTGCATTCATATCATGTAATAATAACCGTCATTTAGAGATGACAACATGTGACGTTTTACCGTGGAGCTGTCCACATCCTCGGATTTGGAAGTAGCACCTAAGTAGAGTCTAAATGAATCTGGCAGCGATCAGGTGGTACAGCGGTCATGTGATCCAAGTCGTAGCTCTCAGAACATTCCCAGCTTACAAGTTGTAATTACAAGTTCTACGAGCACATGAATGCTTTGGCAAGTGTTGCTATAGAAACACATAATTCCAAATCTGAGGACTTCGAACAGCTCAGAGTTGAACGTCACATGTGGTCATCTCGAAATTACGGTAATTACAACATAGCATGAACGCAGCTTATATACCACTTTCATTAGTCTTGGTTGGTCATTGTCTTTACATGCAATGTGTGAAGCTGTTGTGTTTTATGTATTCTCTGTGTTGGATTACTCTCTTCTTTGTTTTGCTGGAATATCTCTTTTGTTTATTGAAATAAATCATACTGCTTGTAAATAAATCCTTGCCTCAACAGGTCTCTCTCCTGGAACAAACATGACACTTGGAGTAAAAAAAAAAATATAGATAGATATTGTGAGAATGTTTACTATTTTTATCTTGCTTAATTAAATATATACCACATGAGAGTATTTTTTTTCAGAAAATGACATCTAAAAAAATTTTTATGAACAATAAATGATGAATAAATAAAGGCAAATTACATGAGGAGGACTTGATTCATTTCCTTATTTTTTCCAGTAAAAAGATGAGCCGGGGGTAATAAATGAGTCTTAAAAAGGGCAAGCCTTGAGATATTAATCTTCTATGACATCTAAACGGCTGAAAGGTAGGAGACACCCTATTAGCGCTAAAGGAGACGCCCACTCTCCTACACTTTATGTAAGCCACCAAGGAAACATTGCTGCTACCCTGAGGCAATTATTTCATTCCTGCGTCCACACAGCTGGATGGCAGAAAATAGAGATAGGGGTTAAAACTTCCTGATTTAGTGAGGCTGGCTCCATACTTGGGGTCTGGAACAGTGAGAAAAGAAAAATCGAAACGGGTGACCTTTAAGAGGTGGTGGCATGTAGCAACAATGGCTGACAAATAGCAATGAGGATTAGCGATGGGTGTGACCTTCTGGGCTTAAGGTCAAATCTACAAGAGAATGCCATGAAATGCTTGACAATTGCCATAACTGCAGGGAAAGATCACAGAAGATGCCTTCATTTGCCAACATGCCTGGAATTCCTGTAAAATAACAGATAAACTCACCAACAAACTCACAAATGGCTTGTTTAACAATATCTATAAACATAACTGGGTTTCTGTGACCCTTTAGTTGTCATTCCATGCAGATCTTCAAAACATTATTTTGACGTTATCTAAAGCTACATCTGAATTTCCCTTTCTTCTAAGATGAGATATATCTCACATGGTGCCAGTATCTCAGCTTGTCAGCCAGCCGCCTGCCTGCTGTGTCTGAATCTGCTTCTGAAGTCTGTGGAAGTGCAATTAGAGAGCTGAAGTCCACCCTTATTACTTTAGTATACAACCCTGTCAGTCTGCTGCTATGTTAACTAATGATTCTGGCTTCTCTCTGCAGATTAAATGGGCAGTATAATCTCCTGACCTTCACGTCATCTCCACGGTCTTTCCACACAATAATTAAAGCTATCTTTCATATGGCCATGATATAGGTAAACCTGGCTTGAAATGTATATGTGATAGATGAGTAATGGATTCTAACCACAAAGGGGATGCTTATTCACATTACAAAAGTATATAGTTAGGATGCAAACATAATCAATCATAATCAAATGTGTTTGTAAATAAATGTATGTGTATGTTTCAAAACAATAAAACATTTTTCTCTTTTACTGGTTTCCAAAAAACAAAGTCACGCTTTATTCATGAGTGGCAGAACATTTGCAAATAAAAAAGATAGATGGTGTAAAATTAGTTAAATTGCATCTATTATTATTTTTAGACTGTGCCTTAGAATGTGGGAAAAGAATTACCATGGGAATTAATCACTCGAGCATCTGAGCCTCTACCTGTTTAATAACAAATGTAATCACTTCCTCCAGAGGTTCATTAGCTCAAAAAGGGAAAGTGTAAGGTTTTATTAGCCAACAGAGCCTTCATTAAGAGCCAATTAAATAATGAACACAGCATACCTTCTTCTTGTAAGAGGATAGACGTGCTGTGAGTTCTCTCTGTTCATCCACTGAAGAGTATATGTAGTAAACATAGTGAACAATAACAGGAGCAGACAAACTTTGCGTCATGTGATGCTCTAGAGAGCAAAGGTTTGAAAAAGGTTACAAAACAAGACAGATAGATAAACAAAACAAACCTTTCCTAAATCCTATAAATTGCATGATACAAAAGTGTGTCTTCAGGCTATTGCAGGATACACATGAACCTTCTTGAATGTTACGGGGGGGGTCAGGACAATCACAGTTAAGACCATGAGCATGTGTCAGAACCAGCGATTTCCTGGACAAATAGAGAAACAAAGTAAATATCTGTTTTATTGATTTTGATGATTAAAACTAGTTGTGCATCAATGAACTTCTGATTTTATTCTGCACAAAAACATTCTGTGCATAAGGAAGACTCAAGAAATATCTAGAACTCTAGAGATTTTTTTGCATCAGAGCTACAAATATTTGATGTGTTATTCATGACCAACCATTACATAATTAATTTAATATATAATTAATGATAATGAATTCAAAAATGTATATGCAAAATATTATGTATGATTACTTCATACATATTTTAATTTTTAATGAAAGAATCTCCTTATTACCAAGTCTGCTTTGTTTGATAAAAAATATAGTAAAATAGTAATATGAAATGTTGGAGAGGAAAGGAGACTGCTAGGCTCTGGTTCTAACTATCAGCAGTATACACTCCTGGTGTGTCGGTCAGGACACAAAGAATGAGGAGACTGGAGCTTCTTTCCAAAGTGTATTGAATATTAGTCTAAAAATAACAAAACATAACAGTATAAATAAACAGGTACATGTTCACACATAAATCAGGCACTTCCTAATCAAGAATACTAACATTTTCAACATAATCTAAACAACAGCTGAAGTTATCAGTATGCAGAGGATGCAATTGGAGACTATATAACCATTGGTCTGGTCCCATAAAATTATTTCAGGATTAATATATATATATTAATAAATCCAGGTCCATTAACAAACTGGGCATTAATTCCCAAATAACATAATCAAAAAGGCAGTAATACTGGCTAATCCTTCCACAGTATCAAAACAAGACCGATTACAGACAGATTACTATGTAAACTGTAACATCTAACTCTGTATTTCGCAGAAATTACATAGCATATCTTGTTTATCTATCGAACGATCACACGTGAATCGTTACATGTCTGTACATATTATTTAACCTACAAAGTTAAATTATACGTTTCAAACACATTTAACAACATATAGAAACTTACCTTATGGTCATGAACTAATACTTTGAAACACCAACCGCCAACACACATCCAAATAACAGGCAGGAAAACTAAGTGCGCAGCTGCCGTTCTCTCAGTAATAATACAATAAGGCAGCAGGCAGCAAACTTGTACAATAATGCCTCCTACTGGATGCACCTGGAAATACGCTCTACAAACTATCAAAATAGGAGTCCCTCAATAACAGACTTCATTTCTCCAGGAGCCTTTTATACAGCTGCCCCCAAAGGTGCTATGCAACTTTGCTTCTACGAAAAGGTGACTTAAGTTGAGTCAGTAGGGCCGTTTTCATTATCTGGCAGAGCTGGCAGGATCACCAACCGTGCTACTGGTCGAGTGTAGACTTGCCCCTTTATATCTACGTCAGCAGATCTGACATGCCCATCCGAACTGTGGTGTGTCTTGATGACATGTCCAACAGGCCAGAGGGCCCTAGGCATCTGAGGATCTACAATCATAACAAACAAGTCTGTTAAGTCTGCGGGAGAGGACTGCCACTTTTGCCGTGTCTGGAGACCTGGAAGGTAGTTTCGGATAAACCTGGACCAAAAGTTATCTGCCAGGACTTGCGAATGCCTCCAGCGTTTGCGACTCAACAATTCAGACTCCAAGTAGATTACCTGTGGCAAGGAACCATCCGGCCGCCCCATGAGCAAACTGTTTGGTGTCACTGGGTCAATGTCTGCAACATCCGAAGACACGTACCCTAAAGGCTTCGAGTTAAGAATAGCTTCCACCTCTAGGAGGACTGTCAGCAGGACTTCTTCTGGAACTGACTGAGCTCCCACGGTAGTATAAAGGGCTGACTTTACAGATCGTACCTCTCTCTCCCAAACTCCTCCAAAATGTGGGGCTGCTGGAGGATTGAAGTGAAATTGGATCCTTAGACGAGCAAGCTGTTTCTGTAAGTCAGGAGCCATTTCAGTGAAGGCCTCTCTCAGCTCTCTTTCACCCCCTTTGAAGTTTGTTCCTCTGTCTGACCACAGTTCCACTGGTGTTCCCCTTTGTGCAACAAACCGCCTAAGGGCCATTAGGAAGGAATCAGTATTCATGGTACTGAGGAGGTCCAAGTGCACCGCTCTGGTAGTTAGACACTTGAAGATTATCCCCCAGCTTTTTTCTGTGCATCTCCCAATTTTAATCAGAATTGGCCCAAAGCAGTCTACACCACATGAGTAAAAGGCAAGTTTGTGGAGATGGAGACGGGCAGAAGGCAAGTCTGCCATCTTAGGAATAGTTGGCTGTGCCCTCCAACGCTGACACTCTGGACACCCATGCTGGTGCCGACGAATGGCTTCAAGGCCACGGATGATCCAATAATAGCACCGCATTTCGGCAAAGACCCGCTCAGGTCCTGGGTGATGCAGCTTGCAATCATAATGCTTAATCAGTAGCCGGGTGACTGGATGATGAGCGTCCAATACAATGGGGTGTAAGGTACATTCTTCTATGGACTCAGCTCTCCTCAATCGACCTCCCACTCGGATTAAACCACTACATCTGTCCAGTTCAGGAGCTAAGGTAAGAAGGTTACTGTCCGAAGACACTGGTTTCCCTTTCTCCAAATGTTGATAGTCATTGGGGAAAGACTCCTGCTGTACTCGCTTGAGAATAAGGATCTCAGCTTGACGATAATTATCTGCATTTGGAAAGGAATCAGACCTAGAGTTTACCGCAATTACCTTAGCAGTGATATACAAGAGTTCTTGCCAGGTCTCATGATTCCGAGAATCAAAGATAATGGATTGGGGTGGTACTGCTGTGGCTCCGCAGAAGGCAGACTTCCTTATTTCTGTGGGGTCATCTGTCAGGTCTGTTCTTGGCATCACTGGCCAGGTAGCTGAATCTTGGAGTAAAAAGGGAGGTCCTTGAGACCATCTGTTGGTCCCTGTAAGGACATTCAGAGGTTTGCCTCTAGTGAGGTCATCTGCAGGATTGCTCGCCGAAGCCACATAGCGCCAGGAACACTTTTCTGTTAGCTCCTGGATTTCGGCGACTCTATTGCCAACAAAAACTTTGTAGTGGCAGGATTCAGAGGTCAGCCAGGTAAGGACAGTGGAAGAGTCCGTCCATAACACCGTGGTCTCAATCTGCAAGGTCAGTTCCCTCTGAAGCAATCTAGCTAACTGAGCGGCCACAAGAGCTCCACAAAGTTCCAATCGAGGAATGGAATGAGAACGTTTGGGGGCCACTCGGGATCGAGCTACCATAAAAGACAGGTACACTTGGCCTCCTTTGTCAGTGGTCCTCATGTATGCCACAGCTCCATATGCCTGTTCTGAAGCATCTGAAAATATGTGGACTTCATGTATGGCACCATCCTTCTCCACCTCAGGAGGGACATAAGTCCTAGGGAGGGTGATGCTTGGCAGGTACTGAAGTTCATTCTCCCAGACGCGCCAGGACTGCAAGAGTTCAGGTGGTAAGTTTGGATCATCCCAACCCCGCTGCTTATTCCATAGTTGTCTAATTATGACCTTGGCTCGAGTGGTGTAGGGCAAAAGAAGTCCAAGAGGGTCATATTGAGTGGCTAGGACCTTGTAGATGTTCCTGAGGGTGGGAGTTTCATATACAACAGGTCGGTGCTTGTACGCTAGGGTATCCGTCTGACAGTTCCA